ATGTGTGAGGGAGAGTAGTGTGAGAGGGGATTTCACATGGTTGCTCTAACCAAACTTCCACCTTGCTTCCTGCTTTTATCTTTGCTAATCTTGAGGGAAACTTTGTTCAAGAAAGTCTTTAAGGTAGAAGTTTGTCTACAACTCCACCTCACTGGAGAAGGTAAAAGTGATTTTGTTTTTTGCTGCACCAGAGGATGGTGAGAGTGATTTGGTTCTCCATCACGCCAAAGGAAGGGAAAAGTGAATTGGTTTGAGCCACACCATTGGTGGAAGATATTTGTGTAAGGGCTTCACCACCTTATTCTGAGAGAAAAAGTATAGTCACTAAGGTCTTAGTACAATACTCATAGTGAAGGACTATGGAGAGTGGATATAGGTCAATTGACCAAACCAATATAAATATGTTGTGCTCATTATTAACTTTTCTTGATGTACTTTATTTTCTTACAAATCTATATTCAGAATCATTATCATTAAGATACAAGAATATTAGATATTTGTGTGGAATCAACTAGTGATAGAAATGTAAATAAATATAAAAAAGCTTTGATCTTTTTTTTTTTGGAAAAATTAAAAATAATAAAAATATTTATTTCATTAATTACTTCCACTTACTTTTTTGTTATTTGGTCTGAGCAAGTACTTAGCCTCAAACTCGTCTAAACAAGAACCTAAGGAATAGGTAATAAATTTATGCTTACATGAAAGTATTTTTAATTGTGAACTATGATCAAGATGAGGTATACGAGTTATCCTAGGATGAAAATTTCTCTATTTTTGAACAAATTCATTATTCATATAGGAAGCTAAAAAAACAACATACGACTCTTAAAAAGAAATTTTCAAATTTAGCAAATGAACATGATATTTTATAGTTGAGCACATTTGCTAAAGAGCATGCATCACTATTAGATAAATTTGATGATTTAAACAAGAATCATATTGTCTTAACCAAGTCACATGACTCCTTGAAAGCTGATCATATTGAATTAGAGGAAACATGCAAAGAACTAGAAAAGTTTGCATTAAAATTGAATAGTAAGAAGCATGAACTACTACTTTAACTAGTTGCTAAGAAAACTATATCTGATTAATTGTTAAAAAACTAAGTGCACTTTGATAGAACACTCATAAGCCTATGCATTCACAATCATATATGAGGACACAACAAGCATCAATGACATACAAGGACACAACAAGTATCACATATCCCTAGAAAGAGGCACAACCACCCACAAAATTAGTAAACACATTTGTAGGTTTTAGGTGCTATTATTGTGGTAAGATAGGACACATTTCCCAAGCTTGCAATTTACACTTTAGATCATACCTAATTTAAAGGCCCAAAGAAGCATCACAGCATGGCATGCATATACTTAAGCATAAGGCAAGATCGAAACCCACTTGGATTCCTAAATCTGATGTTTGATTAAGTATATAGGTGTTATTCCACAAGAGATCTAGATAAAGACAAAAGAACTAGGAAAGTAGATGAATCGCTTAACTAGAGATCTAAAACACTTAATGGTAGTTGAGATTAGAAATAAAGGTAATGCTACATCAGGAGATTGCACTTCTAGAAAGATAGCATGTGTAGGTAATACTGGTATAAATTTATAAATTATTTGTGTTAAATTATTTATAGAAGGATACATAAATCTTTTTAAGTAGTATTAAATTATGATAAAATTTTAAACAACAAATTTATTTCTACAAAATATTAACAAACGTTTACATATATAAATTGATAAATTGAGTTGATAACTAATAAATTGATGTGAATTATATTGATAATTATTATTTTTCAAAACATTTTTTTATTGTTATGTTCCAAAATGATTTTTGAAAAAAATAATTATAATTTTGAAAATATTTTTTAATGAACGTTGATTATTTTTCTTAAATTTTATTTTTTGGTGAAGGGTTGATCATGGCATGCCAACTTGAGGTCACTTAGAAAAATCACCTAGTAATGGTTAGTTATAAGCACATCTATGTTAGGAGTTAAACCCCTTTGAAGAACACATTTGTAGAGTATGGCAATCCCTCATTCAATTAAATTTAGAATGTAGTCACCACTAGGATCATTTAGAAATATTTTCAATGGATGGAATTAGACCTATAAGTACATAAAGTCTAGAGAGAAAATAATTTGGACTAGTCTTAATGGTTACACTAAGTACACTTAGAGATATCTTGTAAGGACTTATTTGGACCTACTGATATAGTAGGTCTAGGAAGATAGAATTTGACTTTGTACTATTTTGATGATAAAACCAAATACAATTAGACATGTCAGTGGATATATTCAGACCTATTAATAAGAGAGTCTAGAAAGAATATAAATTGAATATGTGATATTTTGATAATTACATATATGTGAAATAATGAGGATAATAGTGGATCACGTCAAATGTAGACATTTTTATTTTGGAGAAAAATATAATATTTAAAATTCTATAATATTTAGAGACCATATAGCTAAGCAGAATTGTAGAATTATTATATGCTAATATTGGACTTCAAATTAGAAGATATATTCACCAAACCCCTTAACTATGATAGCACACTTAAGACAGACTAGGTATCATTGACATTTATGCATGTATAAATTGGGGTATATGTATGATTAAGATGTATTTGTTTGTTTATTTTATTTGTTGTGCTTGTATTCTATTTATATTTTATGCAAGATTGTATGTTTTAGTTTCTATGAGTAGGTATATTACATTGCATGTTAGGGAAAATTTTCTTACTTTCACTATCTTTTTTGTTCTTTTGTGTTTTAGTTGTTTGATTTTCAAGCTTTATAGCGCGTCTTTTCCATGTTAAGTGCATGTATTTTTAATTTCTTTGTAGTATTATTTTGTATTGGTGTTTGTCCATAAATCTCCTTTTTGGTGATGACAAAAAGGGAGTAGGATGTTGTTGGTTGTCCTTTTATTTTTATTTGTGCATGTATATTCCTTGTTTTTAGTTCATGTTAATGTGTGCATGTTAAATTAAAAATATTATTATAAATAAAAATTATATATGTGGTTGCACCAAGCAAACTTCTACCTTAGTTAAATGAATGGCCCAAGGGCTATCTATATGCAATTTTTCATCCAGTATGGTCTGATATTTAATTTGAACTAAACATATTGAATAATTATAAAATTATACTAGACAATCTTTTGGCTGTTTAGAAAATTTTGAGAGAGTTCTTAGTGAGGGCTTATCTTCTTGAGAGAGCTTGAAGAGAGAGAGCTTAGAACTTGTGAAATAAAAGTGGAGAAGTTATATGTAAGGGAAAAGATATGTGAGAGGGGATTTTATGTGGTTGCTCCAAGCAAACTTCTACCTTAGTTACTCCTTATGCCTTTGTTGAAATTGAGGTAAGCTTTGTTGAAGAAAGACTTCAAGGCTAAAGATTAATGGAAACTCTAGCACACTGGGGATGGTGAAAGTAATTTGGTTCTACGCCACACCAGAGAAAGGTGAAAGAGATTTGGTTCTTCATCGCACTAGAGAAAAGTGAAAGTGATTTGGTTCTCAATCGCACCATTAGTGGAAGTGACTTATATAAGGGCTTCTCCACCTTGTTATGGTAGCAAAAAAAGAGTCACTAATATTTTAGTGCAATACTCGGAGTTGAGGACTCTAGGGAGTGGACGTAGGTCATTTTGACCAAACCACTATAAGTCTGGTGAACTCATTCTTAACTTTTCCTACCAAACTTTATTTTTCTTGCACATTTATTTTCTTACAAATATGTGAGGATAATCATCATCATTGAGGTACGAGAATATTTGATATTTTCATGGAATAAAATTTTGCAAGAAAAAGAAAAAAAAAGTAAGAAAATTTAAAAATAAAAATGTTTTTTTAATTTTCCTACAAAATTAAAAAGAGCAAAAGTATTTGTTAATTGCCTTTGTTTACTTTTGTGTTATTTGGTCTAAGTTCTTCAAAGTATTTTGAGAGGAAAATTTTTTAAAACAATAAAACCCACCTCCTCTTTATGTGCTTTGGACAATTCAAGTGGTATAACAGCCCTTTATTGAACTTTCGTATTAATCTCCTCTTATTATAGGAATGGTGAAGCTACTATGATCTTTTAAATTTTCAAGTTTTTTTTTTTTAATTATAACACTACTCTTTTAAGTTAATGCTATGATTTCGAATTCTCCTAACTTCTTTCTTATTCAGAATATCCTTCATAAATTTAGCATAGGTCTGCTCTAAGGCTTCACAGAAAGGTATGTTGATTGATAACTTTTAAACACTTCTAAGAACCTAAAATATTTCTTATCAAAATTTTGTTTTATTAGACTATGAGGAAATGGTGGTGGTGATCTCTCAACAACCTTTCTATTTGGTTTCTCAGTTTCATTAATAGGTTTAAGTTGTTCAGGAGAAGGTCAGTATGTAAAGGTTCTTCTACACAACTATCATTTTGAGGTTGATCTATGTCCTCATAAGGATGCCCTAAATCTCTCCTACTACAAAGCTTGATATTATTGCATTGCTCTTTCAATTTTTGATTATTGATCAACTTAGCAAGATGGCTATCTAGTTTTTTTTTTAAATTTTTTCTAAGGGTTATAAATTGATCCTATAGTTGATTCCAAAATTGTAGTACTACCTCTTCTAATGGTGTATTCCTATTTCAAAACTAACTATTTTAATCAAATCCTAAGGGGTAATGATGTAACACTACAAAGTAGGGTGCTACGGTGCTTATGAGTCTAGGATCAACTATAGGATTAAAGTAATTATTATGAATATATTGTCCACCTCTTACTCCCATGGTATCAATTTTTTTAGATATTATAGTTATTTTAACAATAAAAATTGACAAAAGGCAACTAGAAATTGGTTGTAATCATTTTCACTATTAATTTAAAGCTTTCTCAAATAGCTTAGACATTAAAGATCTTCCAATTAATGTATCTATAATTAACACAGGGGATCCTACCAATCCATTATAAAAAGTATAAATAACCAACCAATCCATTAAATCATGAAGAGGGCATTTTCTAAGCATTTTCTTAAATCTCTCCCAACTTTTATAAATTGTTTGTCCATCAAATTAGGGAAAAAATATGGTATCATTTCTATGTTTGATAGTTTTTGAAGGTGGAAAATACATAGTTAGAAATTTGTGTGACAACATTCTAAGTAATTATAGAGCTTGAGGGCAAAGAATTCAACAACATCTTAGCTTTTCCCTTTGGAGAAAATAAGAACAATCTAAGCCTAATAACATCATAATTTACACCATTATACTTAAATGTTGCACATATTTGCAAGAAATTATCTAAGTGTAAATAACTATCATCAATAGGTGTTTTCCTAAACCAGGAATTTTGAACCATCTAAATTATGGAAGATTTTAGTTTAAAGCTATAGTATTGAATAGTAGGTCTATTGATAATCTAATGAATTCCTTCTACTGAAGGGTTAATAAACTCTCTAAAAAGTCTAGAATGGTCCTGATCTTAAACTGTGTCAGACATTTCTATTTTGTTTTTATTTTTCTGATTTTTATAAGGGAGGGTAATTTCTATCTCAGGGTCAAAAAATAAGGGCTCTTTACTAAATCTACCAAACATGAAACAATTATGAAACAACTAAAAAAAATTATAAGCTAAACAATCAACAAATTACTTTTTTTTTTTCAAATTTTTACTAAATAGAAAAAATGATAAAAGATGCACTTGTTTCAACAATATAGTTAAAATTACAATACACACATTACTTCTTTGGTAACAATGTTTAAAACTTGATGGGGACGAGGCTTGAGTTTGTGCTGGCTTTGAGTAGATATGGAAATATGCAGAGGTTTTCTTTGATATAAAAATAATTAAAGCCCACTAAAATATGCAAGGTTATGTGTCGATCAAGTAATAAATATTAGAATAGAGTACTGATCTCATAAGAATGTGTTTACTTATTTGCAAATAAAGTACTACTGATTAATTCAAATTCATAAATTATCCCACATAAAGTAAAAAAAAAAAATATTTTTGTGTTCGTATCACTTAAAGAAAACTTGCAAGAACATTTGATACCAATGAAGATAAAATATTTTATCTTTTATCATAGTTTTCCTGATGAGATTCTTAATTTTAGATATGGATCAGAGCATATGCATCCATAGATCTCTATCGAGCTTATAGGGGTGAAAAAAAAAATAATTATGGCCTTCCTAATATTTTACTATATCCATAAAACCTAAAAAATTCAAACATTTTTGTTTAGGAATGCCAATATTCCATTTCAAAACTCATAATTATTCTAGCATTCTTTATATCATCGTACTAGATATTAACTGCACATATATCCATTATATGCATTAAATGAAGAACGAGATAAATTAAAAACATTTATTTACTCATTAAAGGCATAAGAGTCTATATTAATACTTACTATGCTTTTACATCATTAACCCAAAACTAGAGAATTAGTTAGACATGAAAGGTACAATAAACAAACTCATTTTTATTTAATTCATTAAAAGAAGAGATACAAGAGAAGTAATAAAAAAATTATTACCCGAAAGGATCAATTGATCTTCTCTACACTCCTTTCTCAAACAATAGAGTTGCTCTCACAAGGCAAGTTAATATCCCTAATAGAAGTATCTTGCACTTTCCTAGCCTCCCTTAGACTTTACTCTAAGGGGCACTAATAAAGTACACTAAGAATTACAATTTTTTTCCAAGTGATAGAACTTATAAACAACAAAACTGATAAACTATTTATAATAAGTACATGGATGGGCTTAAGCATCGCGGCGCTCGATAAGATGGCACCACGGTGGTATAAAATGAACTAGCACCTCAATACCATAATGATTACTATGATGTGACTCTAGCCGAATCGCATAGTTAATTGATGAATCTACATCTCTTTTGGTTGAGTGTAATGGATTTTTCATATGAACAACATCTCCACCGTGGTGCTCTAGAATTTGAGCGCTGTAATGATTGAATTTGACTTTCGATGCTAAGGCATTGCAAGGCTTGGTGCTTTAGCACTCATTTATTTGAGCCTCTAGCGTTTCGGTGTTAAATTTGGGCACATAGACATTAACTTCAGTGTCATTGCGGCACCGAATAATAGAGAAACTAGCATTGTAATATCCTAATTAGGCATCTCAGTGTTGATGATCATAACACTATGACTCTTTTTCTGATGGTACTATGGTGATGTTTAACACTTATTGTTAAGATAGTTGCTATTTGCATGGTTTATATTTTTGCAACTTATGAAGTTTTGATGATTCCAAATATTATTGTTCAAATGTGTAGTTATCTCCTAACATTTTTTTGTAGAAGAATTGTATTTGCTCTTGTGTGTACTGACATTTCAGGAAAAACGAACTCCAGACTACGAAGACTTCAAATTAAATTCAGTATGCGATATTTTGTATAATTTGAAACTTGCACTTTTCTTAGAAATCAAATTGAAAGGGAGTGATTGTATTTTGAGTGAATAAAAACATACACACACATAAGGAGATCATATAAAATTTATACTGATCGTACAAGATGATTTCCAGTTCGTACTGGACGATCAAACAATTATCTCCTATAGAGCATATGGAACGAATAGGAACTTGCTCGAAAA